GTAAGCATGGAGAAACATCTGGTGAACAGTAAAATTACTTAAACATTTTCCGTTGTCAGTTCAATTTTGCCGCAAATGGCAGTCTGGGCAAGACGAAAAGATGATTAGGCCTAAAAGTTTCCAAGTAGAGTAATAAACAGAGGACGGTTTCAAAATAAACAAATCATGTGCAAAAAAAGTGCATCAAAAGAAATGTATATTTGTTACATGCGAACTATTTTTTAGGACATTTCAGCAGATTAGTTTTATTACTACACCATCTCCATTTTTTGTGCAAAGAGCATAAATAATAAAAAGTTCAATTTAAGCAACAACAACCTTCTTATTAATCAAGTTCCAATTGGTTAGGAACCCCCTTTTTATTTATCCAATCGGAATTCAGCGGGTCATCCTTACTCGCCAATAGGAACGCGGATTCAGCCTCACCCACGATAATGAGTTACTAACCTTGTGTCTCCACCAAACTCTACCTCCCTCAGTTCACAACTCATCTGACACAAAAACAAATACATTCCATTGTGCTGTTTATTACAGTCTGAACTTTGGTTTGCCAAAAAATATGTCTGTTCATTTCACATACTTATGCGCGTCTAATTCTAGCTGTGGCCACCCTTTCTCACCTCGAGTGACATTTGAAACGCTACATGCGATCCGGACAAATGACGTAACAACTTTCTTAGTGAATAAAAAGCAGAATAAAGAGTGATGTGAATACATATTTCCACTGGGCTGTACGTTCTGATTTACTTATTTACCGTAAGTGCACTGTTTCTCTCTCCCCCTCCTTTCCCCCCACACTTTTTCTTGACTCCTTGGCATCAGTGTCGTTTTTTTTTTGCTTTTTATCGCAGTGGGTCACAAAGTTATTGGGTTGAGTTGTTTCAAAACTTTAATCACCCACTTGTAGGCAGATGCCCATTTGTGATCATAATGCTCCACATTCTTTTGGTCATCGAAGTAGAACTTTGTAACCCATTCTTATTGATGAAGGTACAAGAACTGCTGAATGATTAACCGGCTGTTGTTTGCATCAACAGCTATGTGGAAGGATCATCTGAATAGCCCTGTCGAAAGTGTTTACGTGATCTCTGAAATGTACAACCAACTGCAACTCTTTCTTCTACTCCCCTGTCAATCCCACCTGTCACGTTGACAACGACGATAGTGTTAAACTCTAAGCTTTGACTGTTGTACTTCTTACTCACCACTGAAATAGCAAAAAAATACTTATGATGACTTGTACTAGTATGATATTCAACAAAGGGCAAATAAGCAAAAAAAGTTGAAGCTTTTCTTCCTTCCATAAATAGAGGGTTAAAACTTTCCTTCCAAAGGTGCAAGTGGTGCGATTAAGGCAAGTTTTGGTTAGCCTCCACTTTCACCTCCGTAACCATGATAAGTGGCCTTGTCGAATGCACACATCTTTCCCTAAAACAAATTTGGATAATTTTTTATGTGCAACGCATATGTATTGGCGCTTTTACAAAGTGAGGATGGTGGCAAGCCTTTTAACTGATTTCCTCGCCACTGCACAAACCTTGCTCTTCCGCATCACCGATGTGTGACGGTCACATCTCGTCTCTTTCTACCCAGGGACTTATTTAAATAGCTATTCAGTGGCAAATTATGCAAAATGGCGAAAAAACACGTTGCAGTTGTGCTGCTTTCAGAAGACCAATTGTAGTAGTGACATCTGTTCCTCCATCAAATCAGGAGACGGGTCAGATCTTCAACCCCAACTCCCTAACAGAAATGTGATTCAAATCGGAGTTAAGGTTTGCGTTGAAGACCGAGTCTATAGTTTTGTCCATTCACCCTCACAGTATCAAATGTTTCGCGCCCTAGCAGAAAGCCGACAAATTACCCACTCATTTTCTTGTGGTGCAAAATTTGGCGAAGGCGTGGAGAGACTATTAAAACTTTTTACTCTCACCCTTCATTCTGCTTTTAGCTGCCGGGTCTTTTAGTTATATGACCGGCTGCTTCAATCGCAAAGCCTTCCTTGTCAAAGAGTTGAGAGTGTCCTCATTTCATACGACTCATCCCCTTGGCGATTCGATCACATGGCGCTTCTATCGCTTCCAGACCCAATAAACTAGGTGTCGGAGGAGCTTTAAGCCAAATTTGTTAAGTTATATTGCTCTGAAAGCGATAAAATCGCCAAACTTTACGACATTGCTAACAACCAGATCTTCCAAATTTGATGACTATTGATGTAGTGTTCCTATTGGCTAATCGTCTTGGCGGCAACTGTGAAATGCGCTTTTTGCAGAGAAGCTTATACTTGATTGGTTGATTCTCAGCAAACTCGCTTACGAATGGGCTCTAATTTCGGTGATCCTAATTAACAAGTCGCCTTCATCGGAGTGGATGGGAGGGAGAACACGATCATATGATCGGGCAATTAACCGGGTTTTGTATGCGCCACAACAGTGAGTGTGAATGTCCCAAGATGCCTGTTCCCTTCCGACTTCCGCTATTAAATGCAAATCCTATTTTCCCGAGAGGCGAGAAAAGACTTGCAAATAGAGGCTAGATCGGCTTAAGTAACTCTTTTAAGTACTTAAGAAGCATAACTTAAAGAGAGCAAAAACTAACCGAAGGAGGATCGGTCAAATCAAAGAATGTGGAGAGGGAAAATTTATGCTTTTTTGGACTATAAAGACACAATTTTAGTTATAGAAACTTAGTTGTGCAACTGATCTGTAAATTTGTTCCTCTATTTTCTGAAGAGATAATTAGTAATAACAGACGTTCTGTGACACGAAGGATTCGGTGAAATGTTGTCTCAGCTCAGCAGCAGACATTCCACATCAGCCTCCTGAAGTGATTGTTTTCATAACTGCCTTCCAAGGAATGAGCAAACTTGGCGGAGACATCTTCTAATTAATAACATCAGTACGTTTGGTAAGGGCGAGGGAAGGCGGCAATCGGCTCGAAGTAGAGACAAGTTTAAGGTAAGAAAATGACAAATGACATTCGTTTTCCTCATCATTCAAAAAACAAAAAACAAGTTACCTTCTCGACCAAAAACTTTCTTCCTGTCTGCAGTCTTCGTTTCTGTTGTCAACCTGATTGAAGAGGAGTGGAGACAGGGAATGAAAGAATGACGAAATGACAGTAAGGCGCATTTATGCAGGTCATGTTATTAGGTCTGGTAGCTGTTTCACTGCCTCCGCCACTTTTGTGCTCCGAAGTAAAGACAAATTTTAGGAGGTAGAAGGGGAGTTTTTTGAGGAGGGGCGGAGTAGAAAGTGTGCTTCATCCATTTTCTCCTCCTCTAATTACCCAACCCAGATTAGGAATTGCCTCGAAGCTGAGCAGGACTGGAACGAAGAATTGAGGGGACTGGCAGTTGAGAGGGGAAAAAAAAGTTACGTGAAAAGAGACACTTACGCTTCGAAGTAAAACCATCATAATCATTGCTAAGGGCACCAAAAAACAACTGCCACTGTCTACCCAGTGGTTCAAAAGGTCGACAGACCTCATTTTGTAGTCACTAAGACAGTTGTTGCGTCCCTTGTCCAGATCACATGTAGCGTTTCAAATGTCACTCGAGGTGAGAAAGGCTGACCACGGCTACAGCTAGACGCGCATAAGTGTGTGAAATGAACAGACATATTTTTGGCAAACCAAAGTTCAAAATGCCATAAAAAGCACAATGGAATGTATTTGTTTTTTTTTTTGTGTGTGTCGGATGAATTGTGCATCGAGGAGTGTAGAGCTTGATGAAGATGCAAGAAGAGTTACGCAATTACAGTAGGAGTGCTGTGGGTTGATGTGTCAAGTAAAGCTGTACATTTCTCTCCACATTTCAAGCACCTTTTCAACGAGAATTGTCAACATCAGATGCAAGTGACTTCTGTTATATTCGCTTCACTTATCGAGGCTTAATTGCCACAGGAAGGACAAATTTTTCCATATTGGTATTGCTAATTGCTTCTTTGTTCGTGTTCACAAAGATCGAGCAGCTCAACTATTAACAATTCATTTTTCCGAAATCTACAAAGATAGAGATTTACTGTAGAGCTAAAAAATACTGATGATTCATCATAGGAGGAACTGTCAAAGTCATTTCCTGGCTTTTGGATTTTCTTCCAAAAGCACGACTCGCAAAAGGGCAATTAGCAATTAAAATGGCATCACCTTTAAAGTTTTAACGAAATTTCTGTCAGGAACCTGTGCCTGACATTTGAAAATAAGTCAGGTATGATGTTGCCAAATGCTGAGCTGCAAACGCGGTTGGGGTTAAGAAAGCGCAAGGATTACGGGCCCATGGAAGACATTCAGTATTTCAAACTTGTGATTCCCGAAAAAGGAGAAAATTGCGAGCAAATCGGGTAGAACATCTGCAGAACATCGGTATTTTTAATAGTTTTACGGCCGTCAAATCCATCCTACTTATAAATATTTAAGTAGCAATTCTAATATATTTTTATTGGGTTTCTTGACTGTGACTTTATTCACTTGTCACCGTTCACACCCTCCCCATCTACCCGTCTCAAAACACAACTTTTCAGAAGCCTCCTCTCTAAGACCTAGAATCAGTGATGTCGGAAAGCTTGGTAAAAAAGTGAGCTCAATTGGCAGCAAAGCACCTGAGGTGAGGCCCAAACTGCACATGTGGGAAATGAGGCAAAAGACACTGCAACTCAGCATTGCACTCGCGAGCTGCCCCTTCCAAAATAGAGGGCTAACACAACTTAGTACTATGACGTAAAGCCTTCCTCTAGGTAGGAGGGTGAAGTGACGCCTATCACCTCTCATCATAACCAAGTTGACAGAAAGAAGAACGAAGCCGAGAGAAGGAAGGAAGTACCAGCTCAAGTTTATTTGCACAGACCACACCATGCTATTGTACAGTCCTCTTCTGTTTCTCTTCGGGGCAAGGGAAGCTACTAAATAGTTCATTTACAAATATGCGATCTAAAATGTATCAAAAATAGTACACAAATCTTAGCCAATTAACCCTTGGCAGCGCTCTATTCTCTCCGCTTTGACTACTTTCGCGGTGCCTTGCGTTTAAGGCACTCATCCATAATCTGGACCTCGGTTTCACTTTCCACTTGCTCCACCACCACTACCGCCTCCTGAACGTCTGTCCCCTCAAAAGAGGGGTCAGTCTGTTTCGTGCGCCTCTTCCTACCGGTGGAGGTGAATTTTGCCGCGGCCGGACAAATGGGCGCGTTCAAGCAGCAGGAGCACTTCGGCCGAGCGGGCAGACAAATTTGTTGACCAAAACCGACCAGAAGTTGATTCACCTCGCCCCACAAATCCCTAAATGAGGAGAGAAAAGAAGGAATAAAAAGGCGATACTGTGAAATACTAAACAGCGGGACGTCTTTAGGAAAGGCTTCCAGTACCAATCAAATGACCTAACATCGCCCAACTACGGGAGAGGAAATCAATGTCCATCAAGGCCACAAGGTTGGACGCCAAAACAACCCCCAACCAACGTGTTAATGAGAAACATCACTAACATTGGAAGCCAACTCTCCAAGGCAACACGAGTCTCTTCAGGACTCTTAGTGGGTTCAGGGACCCATTTCAATCGGTTGACGATGCGATGGACGTGGGTATCTACTCCAATGCCCGTTATCTGATGCCACGCACACTTCATGGCCAGATGAGCCATTTTGGGTCCGACGCCTAGTAGAGAGAGAAAGAGAGAAAGAGGAACAAACCAATAAGCAAGGACTAGGAATAGACACAACTTCTGTTTGAATCAGCTACCTCACCTGGCAACGCAAGAAGCCCTTCTATTGTGTTAGGGATGTCGCCATTGTAATCATTAGTTAAAATTTGTGCAACCCGTTTAATGTGCTTTGCCTTCGTCTAAAAAAATCCACATAGTAGGGATAAGATATTACCTTGTAGAAAGACACAGGTTGAAGGATGCCAGCCAAGTCGGCCTCGGAGATATTTTGCAAAGCGGTGAGATTTGCAACACCGCGATCACATAGCCGAGCCATCGCGGCGGCTGTCACTTCATCTTTCGTTTGCGAAGATAGCATCAAACCGAGGAGGATTTGCAACCGAGATGTCTGTGAAGAAGCAGGGGCCCAACTCACACGGAGATAACAGTGAAGAACATGAAAATACGCACTCATTGTTGATTTGTTTATGTGTTTCAAGGGCCCGACACAAGTTTGTTATCCCCATTTGAGCACATCGGAAAATAGACGCATTTTGACTCATTTGAAGGACCTTCTGCGCCTAATAAAATACAACATTCCTGTTCATGCATGACGACTTCCGATATAAGAACAATCAACACGACCCCAGCCTAGCTGTTACCCATCAAGCGACCGACACATTTTTAAGGTCATCAACTAACTGGTTGTTTTACTTTAGGCTCCAAACCCGCAGAAGTGCAGGCCTCTTCACTGATCAGCCGGTGAGTTTAATTTATCCGATTGCCCATGATTGGAAATGATCAAGTAGTAGTAAGGTCGGACGAGCACGTCTGCATCACAGAGGGGTCAAAGAGATAGGAGACATGCTAACGTTTCTAGTTTACAAAAATCAGCACCAGTAACTCGCATGCGTCAAATATCAGCATATTCGAGTGGCAAAATAAGCTGATACTCAAAGAATGGGAAAACTATTCAGCCTCAACCTGAGAACTCCTTACGCCTATTAGATTGTTCAAAATCGGGTATCTAGGCGACGCGAATTGGTGTAGCTGAAACCACAAAGAGGGCGACGACCACGCCTTTCATGCGCGTGACGAGTGGGTTCGAGTCAGGACGCCAAGGGTGGTGAGATAATTACATGGGTTGATAGAACATAAATAACTGCTTAAGTGATCAGAACCCGATGCGGTAATGCCATCACATCAATTTCGACAAGAGATGACCCTAGCTACAAGGCAAAATGAGTGTATTACTCACAAGGGTCTCTAGACCGTTGATGGCTATAACTGCAATGTTTGAATCTAGCTAATCCAAATAGAGGTGCATAATGATTGATTTTTTCAAGAGAAATACAAACCTATGACATTACCTGAATTATGAAAAGACGCCAACCACTAACGAACAAAACTCGTCTGTAATTGAGGTATGGAAGCGAACCCCTGAACCAATAAAAAATCAAGAAGAAAAGCTTGAAAGGATTGCAATGCGATAAATCATCCAATCAGGTCATTCTCTCCCCTAACAGTTCAAACGAAAAATTGATATGATTAAACGAGGCACAACAGACATTTCATTCTTGGAAAGGCGAAAGCAGGCATAACATAGGTTAGCAATCAATACAAAACCAATCAGATTTTAACCAGCATAATGAGAGAAACGCAGCAAAACAAACCTTAGGATCAGCATTTTTGTCAGCCAATGCGTGACAACCCATTGAATCGACAGGAGCGTTGGCCTTTTCACGCATGAGTAAAATATTTTCGAAGACAGTAAACCAGTCAGAAGGTTGCCAGTGTAGATCAGGAACTACGTCCTCAATATCCTCGGACGATGATGGATTGCCTCGTCGCCTACTGCGTTTCATGCTCGACAAAATGCAACAGGATGATTTTCGCAAGCACAAGGCCGGTATGTTGGACCTAATACATCGTCAAAATAAACATTTTTGCATAACCAGGGACACAATGAAGCAAAAAGCAGCATTAAAAGCTGAATACAAATAAGAAAATAAGTCACAAAGCGAAATGTAATGAACCACTAGTGCTCACGGCATCGAATTAAGATACTAACGTTTGCGCAAAAAAATCAAGGAATTGCATCAAAAAAATGAAAGAGAAACCAACGTCAAGAAACGATGTACTTGAAGAACTGGTGAGACAACGCACAACACGCGAATAAACGCCAAGTGTTTCATTGATAGTAACAAAGCTGAAATAGCTGATTAAACACAACTCCGATAAACCCAGTCGAAGTGTCAAGGAACTTATGAAAAAGCAAAAAATGTAAAATCGAAACAACACTTCGCACAATATATTTAGAGTATAATTGCAAGTTGTGACCTGAGTTGCAGCGAAACGAAAATGCGCTTATTTTTCGACTTTACTTGCGGACGGTAAAAATTTTATAGCTGTTTACTTGGAAGCCAATGTAGGAGCCCTACTGCTAATGCAGAATTTTTTTGTCTTTGCTCTACAGCAATGATTTTAAATCTTCATTCAAAATTACTCTTAAAATCGTGGGCGGCAAGGGATTACCACTGAATAGTCACCGAGACGCAAACTTATTTGAACCTATTTGGTATCTTAATTTTTGTCATCTCCTTGGGAAAATTCCCTTCCAATATTGAAATTTTAATGAATCAACATTAGTTGTCGGTGTTTAGTTAGATAGGCTTAAGGAAATTCTCATTTGAACGCTATTCTTTGTCTGCATGCATTTGGATTCCGCAAATCTCAAATCTAGATCCTCCCTAAGTTTCGCTGGTTTCGGTTGTTTGCGCGAATTTTTCGGTCGTCGCCTCTTGAGAAACTCAGATTAAATCTGACTTTTTACTTTAGGTGCCCTGACTGTTGGCATCTGCTTAAGATATGGTGCTTTCTCTGTAATGGTGGTACGCAGAAGTTCTGAGGAAGGCTCTGACAAAAAATCAGTTCAGGACAGTTCATCCGATACCAGCGAAGAAGATCTAGACTGTTTAATTGACAGTGTTTTAGGGAATCTATCTCTTTATACACCTAAGGCTCAAGTAATGACAATCAAAAACCGGAAGGAGCGTTCTAAGCACGAACGTTCCGAAAGATCCTCCGCAGTTGAATCGAGTACCTCGCCACAAGACGATGCGCATCCTTTTGGGATCAGGAGACATCCCTCAGGAAGCCACGGCCAAGTGTCTTCTCGTTTTCGAAATCGTCAAAATCGGGGTCACCAATCATCTGCGGTTGTTAGACAGGGTCGATTTACCTTTACTCAATATGCAACAACTGCAGATAGTCGGCTTTCTTCTGCTTCTGTAAATCGGCATTGGTCTGGAGCCCACGAGTCCTCGAAGAATATTCCCGTTTGCTTGGTTGAGTGCTCTGAAGCTACTGATTTGGGAACTGGTAATAACAGTGAAGATGAATATAGCCAGATGTCTGAGAATACTAGTCCGAATTCTTCAAAGGTTTTGAATTTTATGTAAAAAATATTTCATTTAGTTGGAAGATAATGGACTAGAGCAGCTATTGAAGGAGAAGAAGGGTTGGAAAGTTGTTCGTGTTCATGGTGATGGGGCCTGTCTCTTCCGAAGCGTCTGTAGGTTCAGTTGTTGCTGAGTTGATTATCGATGCATTTAGCACATCAGGTGTTTGGTGATGAAGAGAAGCATGACATAATTCGGAAGCAGGTTGTTGATTACATGGTAGGTGTGGGTAGTAATTAATTACGTTCGTCTTCCGTCATCTAGTGTAAGAATCGGGAACACTTCTCTCAGTATGTTACCGAAGATTTCGATCGTTATCTTCATCGGAAGCGCCAACCAAATTGCTTCGGAAACCACCTGGAGATACAGGCAATATCCGAACTCTACAATCGACCTGTTGAAATCTACTACAACAATGTCGTTCCTATTAATGTTTTTCATGCTGAATACTCGCATGAAGTTCCAATTAGGCTGGGCTACTATGGTCGAACGCATTATAACTCAATTATTGATCCCTGCAAGCCATCATTTGGCCATGGGTTGGGCATGCCTAACTACCAACCTGGGGTAGATTGAAATCTCTTCGCCTTTGTTCTTACCTCTCAATTTAGCTGCCGGAAAAGGATCTCGTCAAACAGGCAATTCGGGAATCCGAGACTAGTGAGTTGGAAGAAGCTATGTTGAGGGATAAATTGGCGGAGTCGGAAACCAAACAACTGGAGGACTGCATTGCTGAACATGTTCTGCGTGAATCTCTCTACGAACACATGAAGGCACGCTTTGATGAGCAGGTATCTTGATATGGTCACTTAGACAGTTAGTCCTAAGTATTGTCGACTACGTTAGAATGAAATTTCATCTCCTAAGTACTGTCGAAATCCTTTCATTGCTCCACCGCTGTGTTCGCTTGAATTTAGTAGTTGCAAATACATACTTACTCCCTGATCAAATAAACAATCGATGTGGCTGCTTTGGTTGAATGATGTTAGCATCACTTCTTCTTGGGTTGGTGAAGTCCAACACCAATAAACTATGTAAGCGTGCGATTCTACTAGATCGTGGTGGATCCATAGTGTTCTGTATTCCATTTCGCCCGCCTAGGGAATGTCGAATTGTTGATAAGGTGATGCAATAATTTATTGTTGTTACTTCCAGGCAGTTGAGCGCCAACGAAGGACTTCGTCACCTCAATCCGTGTCTCCCAAGTCTCGAAAATCATCGCCACTGCACTGTCCGTCCCAACCAGCACCTTCGTCGACATCCGCTTCTCAGTTGCCCTGTTCTTCCTCTTATACCTCTGTTCTTCCCTCCTCCTCGACCTCAATTAAGCCCTCTTCCTCCAATACCGCAGTTGACGTTCCTGGTTCTGCTGTCACCACGGCTACTGCTGCTGTCGCCGCCACTGCTTCGGCTTCCGCCTCATCGGACCCAGCTGCCAGTGACTTCGCAGTACTCCGATACATCCCTGCTAACATGCTAGGTAAGTTTATGCTTTCGACCACAAGCATTAGTATGTAAAAAATCAATCATTACCCACGCCCTGCCAGGAGACGACGGCAAAGCAGTGAATGTCATTGATTTCCTGATATCTGGATTCAGTTCCCGTTGTTTATACTTGTCCTCCCGACGCAGATCTCGGCAATTGCAGATGCTGTGGTAGTAGTTGATTTTTTAAGTCCCATACTGAGTGATTATGATCTAAATTAGGTTTATTCTAATCGTTTGCATCTGCTGCAGCATTTGTTTTGCTCTTTATTGGTTCTTCTTCCTGTTCTTATTGTCGTTAGTTTTTCGTATTTACTATGCTAATCCTACTTCTTTTTTGCTTAGTTGGCAAACCTCACGTGACAGGGCGTTGTTTGTTCTGGAGGAAATTCAATCGCCCTTCAGCTCATTATTAGTCTATTCCTATCCTATTAAGACAGTCAGTTGATTGGTCGCATTGGATGAGAGTTTAGCTTGATTTAGTTTGCTGGCCTTTATATACCTCCTACTGGGGTTTCCCATTTCTGCATAAGAGGGGTGAATGCATTGTAAGGTCGTTTTAAGCCTGCTTTTTTCTGTTCCTCTAAAAACGACTTAATGCATCTTTTCGGATTCTGGCGCATCCTACTGCAACTAGACCTGATTTTATACGCTTCTTCCTACCTCAGACATGAGCGACGACGACGTGCTAGCGATGGTCTTGGAACAATCCCGCAGCGAGTACATTGAGGGACTACGTGTGGCATGCAGGGGCGAAGATGACGATTTGGAAGAGCGTGGACGTCCCACTGCACAGTCCTACTTCCGTCAGAATTTGGAACCCTCTCAGCCATTTAATGCGTCATCAAAAGATGATTCTGGCGATGATGGCGCCATAAACTAGTCTTTCTGTGTACATAGCGTGAATCCTGGTCCAAGGTGGTGTAGCCTCCTCAGGAGGGTGTCATCGTAATTCTCCTTTCCTATCGTAATCCCTCCGAGTCCTGGGTTCGCCTGCTCGCCGTTTTCTTCTGCCTCACCATTATTTTCCTGTCTTAAAGGTGGAACACAGTGCTTTTACTCAGTCCTCCTGGCGATTTCTTCTATTACTTGCTGATGGGCGTTGGCCAGGACTGTGGTAATGCTCCGGTGAATTAGTATGACTAAGTGAGGATCTAGTCTGGCATGATTTGGGGTTGGTCCCAAAATCTCCGTGGGTTTGCGTGGGTCATCCTTTCCTGTGTTACGAACTCACTGAATGGGGGCCCAATTTATCAAAAAGCGGGAGGTTAGGCGTCGGGGAAAGCGTCTTGGTGGCATTTAAGGCGATGGTTCTACAGTGACGCGAGTTGTGGGGGTTAATGCGATGGGAAGCTACCTATAGGTTTTAAGAATGGGTCAAGTGCGCATTCATGAATAACACGGAGCGCTGACAAAATACTTGAATGTATTAGTTCACAAATGCAAGAAAATTATTGGTTCAAAGCTTAAAATTTACATTTATTAAGGCGCTTTGATTATCGTGCCTTTGTTCATTTAAAAGGTCAAACATTTTAATCGGTCATCATTAGTCGCGCTCGTTTCGGAACTTCACGTAGATTATGAGTTCTCCCCTGGATGACTGTAGAGAAGAAATACAGCAATTGCGGAACTCTTTGAAGGAGGCTTTACGTGAAAAATACGAAGCTGCTCAGTGCGGGCTAAAGCTGCTTGAAGAAAAGGAGAGTTTGCAGGCAAGACTTGATGAATCTGAAGAACTTCTTGAACAACTAAGGCGAGAGCTACAGTTAACACAGGAGGTAAAGGGTGATCGTATGCAAATTTACTCTAGAAATGTGATGAACAAAATGAACTCCATAGAAAGATGAGTCGAGCAGGTTTTCAGGCGGAAGATGACCTCCTCAGTCGGTCGGCCAATCGTGAAGAGCAACTTTCGGGTCGTATTAAAGACCTCGAGCACGACTTAAAGAATACCAAAGCGAAATATGAACGGCAAATGGCTGAAAATGACAGACTTCATCAAATGATGCAAGAAATTCAAGCTAAATACGATAGCGTAGAGAAGACCCGACTTGAGCTGAAACAGGAGATAAAGGCTATGAAGGCTGTTGAAACTCGGTTACTTAGTGAGTTGGATGAACTAGAGTCGGAGAATCTGGAACTGCAAAAGAACGTCTTAGCGTTGAAAACTAGTCAGGTTCGTGGTGTCATTGATTGTAATGTTCTATTCAGATTGAATTTGAGAGTCTTAAACACGAGCTGAAACGTGGGCAGGAGGAAAATGATCTTATGCATGTTCAACTGGAAGAAGTTACTAGACTAAAAAGAATTACGGAGAAGTCACTGGAAGAGGCCTTGGAGTCGCTTCAAATCGAACGTGAACAGCGCCACAACTTAAAGAAGGAGCTGGATAGTCGCTTAGCTTATGAATCCTTCTATCATCTTAGTTCCGTTCAAAACGGTCTGGCACAGTCTACCCAATTGCAATTACTTAATACATCAGAGCCATCGGAGCACTCAAATTCCAGTAGGTTTCCGCAGGAGATTAATTTATGCATCATTACGTATTCGTGTATATGTGCGCGGAAATGTGCTCTGATTTTTTGTGTTTATAGGTGTCAATATCGCGCACAAGGGTGATGATTTGTTTTCCGAACTAAAGTTAAGTGAATCTACCCAGTTTAAAGCCGAGATGACGGAGCTTCAACACAAGTTGGAGGAGGCACAGAGGTCTGCTGAGGTTGCCACTAGTGAGGTGAATTCGAAGCAGGAGCGCATTAATCAGTTACAGAATGAACTTGACCTAATTATGGGTGTTCAGCGTCGCGCCGACAATGAATTCGAGTCAAACAGGAATGCAGATGGGACTGACACTGCTGCTCCCACTGGTGGTGAAGAAGATTCTGTCTCCGCTGGACTGAAGCGAACCCTTAGACAAACAGAAACGCGTTATTCTGTTGCGCTTCGACAAATCGCGAGCATGCAACACGAGTTGTGGCGTTACCAGGAGCTGGAAAAGGTGAATGCTGATCCGGCGTTGGCAGACGAGGAGGGATTAAAAGCGGAGGTTTTGCGGCTTCGCAAGGAGTTGGAGAATCGAGCAGAGGACATAAAGCACCTAGAGGAGAGAATCGATAGCGACGCAGAGGAAGCACAGCAGGCGGGGCTGAAGACAGCTGTTGTCTCAGTTTGCCTACGACGTGGTTTTGCTGATCTTCTCAAGCTCTACATGCTTGTGTGTTCAGAGTTGAAGGAGACGCCATCAAAACAGGTAGGCGGGAATGTCATAGTGCATATGTTCTCAGAGGCTTACCATTGCCATTTGCTATTAATTTAATCGAGGAGAAAGGGTGATCTGAAAAAGTACTGCAATTGCATAAGGTAGTTTATTCACTCCCTTACGGCGATAATCTGGGATGGAGTTTAATGTCTCCGTAAGTTAGCTCTCTCGTGCCGCAAAACGTTGGTTAAAACATTTTGAGAAGATCGTCCTTTATTCCTACATGAAAGGAAATACCTCAAATGGTACCGATACGTTGCATGTTTTGTGTTTTGTTTACTCTATGATCGGGTAATACGGCCAAGTGTGAGCTTGGCTCCCACATTGCCGGCTTTTAGACAGGCTTAGGCCTGAAGCCGTTAAGTAAGGAGATTATGAGTTTCGTCGTTTTACCTGAGAAATAAACAGGCCTTTTTAGATTGATTGTATATGAAAAGAAATAAAATTTCGTCGTGCTATGTGCGGTTTTATTCTCACGGTTTATCCATGGGTGTGCGTGCAACTCATTTGAGAGGCCACTAATGAACCAAATTGGGGTAGCCTTCAAGTCCCTTTTCTCCCGTTATTTCCCACTTCCATACTTAGAATTGGGAATTGCTTTCTCTACCTTTCGGTCTCATAGGCTGCTGCTTTACCCCTTTTGGACCGATAGTTTTCACTTACTCTTGTTAGAGTATGTCTAGCTGATGCCATTCCATCCCTGCATTTCTTCCCCATCGAATATTGCTTAGTTATTTCCCATCCCTTTCAAACTTCCTATTTGCGTTTCCTTCGATTGGTTTAGATCCGTTATATTTTCAGGTCTGCGAGCTAGCCGCCCGTGCCAGTGTTTCGCTGGACGCCAACGCATCTACTGATGATTCAACCGCTTCTGACCCGACTGCAGATGTTTCAACACCCGGTACAGCTGTATCCACATCTGTAGCTCCCACTGAGCAGGTCAGTCCAGAGATGCTGGCAAAGCAAGTGGAAGATCACATAGCCATTTTGAGTCACCTGCGTCGCGCTGTACAGATGTACGCAGAGAAGAACGCTCGTCTTGCTCAAAATGTGAGTCCTAAGATCTTCAGATGTCTTTCCGCTCTGTTTTCTTTTTAAACTTCCATCTGTATGGCTGGAGTTACTGCATATGCAGGGCTGTCTATCACTTTCCCTCCGGATGACGCAGTTCCAGACCACTTAGCATTTTTTAAACGCCCTAGCAACGGCGGTGTTATTATTGAGTCATTGTATATTTCCTTATTCGGCCCGATTCACGGACTCTGATTGGTCCATGCGTTCGCACGCATTGGTGCATTCCATTACCTCGTTGTCCATTGGTCGCTCTCTACTTTCTCTCTATTGACCTTAGTAACGATGTTTCGTTGCGTGGTTGCGTTGTAACACCCAAAATATTTCTGAAAGCAGTAGGAGGTGGAAGAATAGAAAGACGACTTCGTTATAGCCATAGGAGAGGGATATAGTGGAGCCACATGATAACTCGGCAACAGAAAACACTGCTTTAATTTTTTTCACAATTCCCATGCGATGCAATGGCACGACACTATCATTTTCAATGGGCAGATAAAAGCTGCAAACTACGTAGGAGTGATGCATATATCGGGCGTTTAGTTGCTCATACCGAAGCTTACACCGACCCGTCTACTAGCTCCCACCGCTTTTGACTTGCGGAGGTCCTGAGTTTCCTTGTTGGCTCTTAACCGTTCACAGAATAGAGACCGAGAGATTGTTGTCAAGATTGGCGCGTTCAATGCCTCCCCCAGGTGGCGTGATCGATAGACAGGTGGCAGTCAGGGTCGTCGGCCTAGTACAGACAAGAAAACGGCGTCGAACACCCACTCGTGCACACAGGCTTGCACACTCTGCTACGTACACGTAATCACGCGCTGACAACAGGTATTCTTGCCCAAACAGCTCTCTGTTTCGTGTGGCTGGCCCTCCTTGTTACGCCTAGTTGGTAAGATGATTTGATTCGCGACACAACTACCGGGTCTTGTGATTTCCAGGCAAGCCTAGCACATGCATGAAATACTTAATTAAATTGGGAAGATGCATCTCGAGCAGGCTATTACACCACTCGCGTGTACTGGGTTGGCCCACTTGTTCCAAAGCTTCCACTCAAACATTGGTTAAACTGTGGAAGGGTTGCGTAACTACAATTTCAGGGCCAATCATGGATGAAACATCTCCGGCTATTTATTTAGACCAACTCCCAAAGCATCTACAGTTCAAGTTTCATGAATAGGTCATAGTCCTGTGATCTCAGGTTCCTGATTGGTTAAATTTCGTTTACAGGCCACCAATGGGACATCGAAACGGGCAGACGAGACCGTGGAGGAGTTGCAAACGGAGATTTTGCAGCTGCGTAACAAACTGGCTCTCAAGCGTGAGCAGGTGTTCTCACTACGCACTGTACTAAAAAAGAACAAGTCGGTTGCAGAGACGGCGTTGGCCAACTTAAAACAGAAGTATGAGAATGAGAAGGCTATCGTTACGGACACACTGCGTGCTCTTCGTGCTGAGTTGAAGATGTTGAAGGACGACGCTTTTACGTATACCTCTATTCGAGCCATGTTCACAGAAAAGCATGAGGAGTTTGTGCAACAAATGGATCAACTGCAGCAGAAATTGAATGTACGTTTCTACCTCCGCTTTTCATATCCTTTGTATCGGAATTTGTCGAAGGATCTGTCCTGTGTTTCACAAACATTCAAAATGCCTTTTAAAAACTAATCCTCCTATCAGTTAACAGAGTAAAGTGATATATCCTTTCCTCTAGCCTCACCTCCCTCTCTTCCATCTGGGTTGAGGATTTATAGGCTTGTGGATAAAAGTTCGGATTGTGACTTTAAACTCTTCTTGATTGGGTTCATGGAAAGAACATCATCCAGCAACATCCATGCATCCTCTCTTCGACTCCTTTCCAGCTTGTTATACAACCCTATAGTTATTGCCTGGATTTGTTTCCTTTTTTTCCGCCGTTCGGTGTCTGATTGGTTTATTTACTGACTAATCACGTCTTTGCCTTTCATAGAAAGCGGAGGACGAGAAGAGGACGCTCAATTCCATCCTCCGATTGGCTATTCAGCAAAAACTCAACCTTACTCAGCAACTTGAAGCCATGGAGATGGAACGCCTTGTTGCCAATCCCGCCTCCGCTCGTATGGCCGCAGAGGCAGCTCCTGTAATTTTTAAAATAGTGCCGTTTTATTGTCTCACTATAATTTGAGTAGGTGGTGGCATTCTTCTCAACGCTCTATTGGTTATTAATATCTGAGGCGACTCCAAAGTGCACGCTTATTGGCTACCCTTTGATCTTGTAGACCACTGTCCACGTGGAGTGTGTCCACAGAGCAGCGAGTTTGGGCAGCCCTGTGGCAGATTTATAGACTCACGAGTACGTAGCCATGTTTAACATCGCGCATGTTCTCCTCTGCATGACGTCATACAAAGCTGTTCTGGGAGCGCACGCATGGTGTTAGATTTGACATCTCTGGTTTCGATTAGAATCGCTGTTGCCCCTTCTCCTATCCCCTCAGATCTATAATACTCATTTGTTTCACTACTAACTCGGCTCTTTCACACTAATTGGAGAGTCAATTGATGCGTGTTTCTGAGATCCTCATACGTCTTTGAAAAATGGTGCTGTACAGCTGCGCACTTATTTTCCGTTTGTAACGAGTTGGAGTGCTGTAAATACGGTCTTTAAGTCCAAGACCCAGCTGGAGTTGCACAAAACGCGCGATGATTTGCGTCATTAATTGTGTCTACAGTTTAATGCCCTCTGTCAGTCTCTTAGTCTTTTGTTTCTGGCGCCGCCTAGTAGGAGAAGTTATGCTATAATTCGTGTCTTTTCCAGCAGCGCTAACCTTTTTGATCGCCTTGCTTACGACTAGCCCGCTGTCAATATTGTTTCTCCACACATCGTGGCACAAATATAGTAGAATACTTATTAATTTATGCCCATTAGCGGGATTTGAGTCGATCACGTGTAAAACTTTAAGTTGCGAATTTCATCTCAAATTGGTTGGCACTAGTGTCGATTCAGGGAAGGAGATTCAGATGGTTGTCTGCCTACTGAAATAATTCGTCAGTAGCATACGAACGTCGCTGGGCTTACTTATTTCTGGTCGTAAGTAGCAGAACCTAACAAGATGGGAAAAGTTGGCAGCATGGTGTATTTATACAACCTTCACAAACGTCTCATCAGTGAGAGGTGTTTTAATGAGTTGCGCTTGCTCTTTTTTAGCCGCTGCGTCTTTACGCGGGAGTAGATCCCACCACTGGAGCTGCTACCGGACCGCAAATTTTTACACCTGCTGCTGCCACCCCACAGGCTGCTCCACAAACACCACTAGTGTCTCCTCCACCATCTGCCCCTTGGCTTCACGCTGCTCCCCAGCTCCATTGTCCTCCTCATCCCGCTGCTGCAGCCGCTACTACTGCTTTCAACTTCGCCACCGCCCCGAGTTCTCGAACCCCCACAACACAACCTCCTGTCTTCCCTTCGCCTGTCACTGCTCCTCATCTCCTCAAAGTTAATAATAACAATGCAGTTGAGTCTGTGCTTGTAGTGAGTTTGGAAATTTTGTAGCTAGCTTTTGTTTTAAGCAAGCGATTTAATTTACCTCTTGTTCAGCGTCCACAGGTTCGGCCAAGACGTCAACTGAACGAAGCAGAATAGCTGACCTGTAGTTGCAAGGTCGTTGTTGCGCATCTCGTCACGTCAACATCCCTTCTGTCCTCATGTAGGGGCAGTTGATTTTCGCTCCATAGGTTTCTTCCACTTTCGCTCACATCATCGCGTGCTACATCCCAACCCCGATTTTGAACGCCTTTTCGACCCCTTCCTCCCACTCCTAACTTTCTTGGCATCTATTCAGTTGTACATTGACTTCAGTGATACTTGCATATACACGCATACACAATTCTCACCCCGTGACTTGTATCATTTCTCTCCCTCTGAGTGGTCGTGGAAGATGGAAGTCGGTGCTACGAAGCATTCTAGATGACGGTGGGTCGTTCAGATCGAATTGGAAATAATGCCATTGAGGTGGCAAGCGAAATTCGGTACCGGTATGGCGGCATATGTTGTGTAGTTCAAAGGCGGATGCGATGTAGCTACTTCTCAACAGCAGACAGAAACTCAAGATGTCCCAATCTATTCAGGGGAAGAAGAAGTATGCAACGATTGGCTAAGATCTATCAGAGCTGTAAGGAGTTCAAAACAGATGTCTTAATTGGCAACGGGGGGAATAGGAGGTTGTTCGATTGCGTGGCTGTTGTCAATTGAATCCACATTTGCGGTCTTTGGAGAGGTCTGGATATTGACCGATCAGGAGAGAGAGCAAGGAGGTCATGAAGTTCAATGCTCTGGCATTTTCAATGACCAGAAGATCGGCCATAAAGAAGGAACTTCTAAAAAGTTGGCATGAGATTGGAGACTATCCATCGTGGAAACCTTTAAGGTGGAGTAGACAGACGGCAACGCATCAATGAAGACCAGGAGGGGGAGTCAAGTCCACGTGATGAGAGGATAGTAACATCCATCACCTTATTCGGCAGAAATTAACAAATACAACGCAGAAATCGCTATAAAATCGGGCGAAATTAGTGGCTACCACTATCACTCTACAAGTATACAACAATTCACCTACTATCACTGCCAACAGCGACGGCTTTCGTACAATTTCTGAGTCTCTTCCAAGCATCAAACTGTTCACCTGATGGACGGAAGGGGGAAAACCTCATCGCAAGAAGGAGAAGCGTTATAGAAATCAAACTTCCCCTCCTTCCGATAAGACATAAGTTTCGTATCAAGGATAAGAAGGGAGCAGTCGTTGATGCGAGAAATATTGCTTGTTGTTATCGTTCTCCACTCATTGATGCTCGTAGGTTGTATCCAAATGTAATCAATGTTGGCTGGAAGATGAT